GGTGCGACGGTTCGCCATGACATACTCCAGACGAGAATCAAGCAATGGTCATATTCTGCTTGGCCTTGAACACACAGCCATCGAGGAGTCCGTAATTCGTTTGGCGTTTCTACGACGCATATCATGGCAGCACGCAGCACACACATCACATAACACTCAGTTTTACATAGGAGGGCGGTGTCCAGTTGGATGGCGCGAAGTAGCCTGCACAAGTTTGCGTGTGCTCAGCTCAGAAACGAGAGGTTTTAAGTCTTAAAGTGGGCATAACTGTGAATTACAGGGAATAATCTCAAAGCGGCGATCATAGTTCAAGACATCTGTGGTTCCCTCTCTAAGAAACCAAAGCCTCACAAATGGGGAGGAGTGCTTTCAATGCAGATTGTATGCTTGCATTTCGTACACGAAGCCTTTTAATCATTAAAAACATCATTGTGTCTCTTAGCAGCCTAGTATTTGCTCTAGAGACTTATTTTGAAATCTGGTACATCCAAAGTCAAGTAAGTGAAAGAGAAGGAGATTATCTGCCACTCGAATCCCAAAACAACTGCATGACATTGCGGTAAGGTGGGACTCGCAATGGTGGTGCGTCAAGGTGCAATAATTAGAGGCCCAAGGGGCGAATCCAGAAGAGGGGGGTACGGGGCTATGCTCCCCCCACACTTGGACCTCGAAAAGGCCATTGGCTCCAAGGAGGCTCATAGCCGACCAACCAGGTGCATTTTTAAAAAAACGCAAAACGCAACAGTTTCTAATTTGTATCCATCTCATAAAATATATTCAGACATCCCTGAATTTCCAGGCGACCAAGAACCGTTGCAAGCAAAATTGAAGGGCCCATGAAAGGTATAAAAACTTCAGTTACCGAAAAACTTTTTAAGTTGAAATTTAAAACATCACGCTGTGCAGTGTTACGCATTACGCTATGCTGTTTTCGAGGACCTATATGCCCACTGGCAAGGTTATTTCGATCGTTAAGGAGCCTTCCACGTTGCCCTTGATTTCTTTGCATTTGCTCGGAGGGTCCAGCGCTGTTGCTGGGCCCTTCATGCCCGCGTGCCGGGGCATTCTCGTCAATCACGTGCCCTTCCACGGATTATTTCCATTCACCAGAAAGGCTCCGTGGGCTGTAGCCGGGGTCTCATATCTTAACCAACCGGGGTATTCTCGGTTGCTCTGGGGCCGTTTAGGTCGTCTCGGTTAGCCTACCGATACACTCGCGACACGCTCATGGGCCATCTGCATTGGTCTAGGGCGCTTTCTATTCTCTGTCATTTGCTTAGAGTCCTATGCTCTTGTCGGGGGTCCATCTGTTAACATGCTTGGGTACACTCAGTCGTCCGGGGCCTTCCAAATTGGGTCTTGGGCACTTTCTATTTGAATAGAGGGCCCCACACACTTGTCGGTGCCCCCTTTGCTTACCTGCTCGGGCACACTAGATTGTTTGAGGGCATTACAAGTTGGGTACTTTAATATAGGGCCTTATGTTCCTGTCGAGGGTTATCTGAAAGCGTGCTCAGGTACATCTGATCTTTCGGGGATCTTGCACATTGGGTCTTGGGTATCTCTTATCTGGTGGGGGCCCCAACACCCTTGTCGGAGGCTCATCTGTTAGGCTGCTCGGGCACACTGGATAGTTCGGGATCCCTCTATATTGGGTCTTGGTATTTGAATTTAGGTCCCTACACTCCTGTCAGGGGCAATCTGGCAATTTTCTCGGGTACACGCCATCTTTTGGGGACCCCTGTACTGGGCTTTGGGTACTTCTTATTTGAATCGGGGATCCTACGCTTTTGTCGGGCCCCTTCTGATCAGCTACCCAGGCACGTTTCATCTTTCAGGAGCCATTTACGTAGGATCTTGGTTGCTTCCCATTTGAATGGAGGTCCCTATGCTCTCGTTGATAGCCCTATCTGTTAACCTACTCGGTCACATTCGATCGTTCGGAGCCCTACACATTGCACAGCATTTTTTAAAAATTTAAATGGATGGCCTTATGCTTTTGACGGACTCCACCTATTGAGCTGCGCGAGCCGGTGGCGAAAACAGGGGGGGAGGGGGAGGGGAGGCACGGGACCATGCCCCCATGGACCATGCTGAGGGGACCTATCCACTTCAAAGCGGCCTATGACCGGCTGAACGGCCGGAGTTTTTTAACGATAAAAAGACAACAAAAATGGACGCCATTTGGTTTACAGACAACCAAGGACAACTGTTGGCAAGAGTAAGTAAGTTCATAAGCAGACGAAGGTCATTTTGTTTTTTTTCTTCTTTTTTGCTGATTGAGAAGCTGTTGGCTGGGGGAAGTTTTGTGCCCATTACGCTGTCTAGAAGCATTACGCTGTTGATTGTCCCGGCCCTACTTGTTCACTTGCCGTGCCAATCTGATCGCTAAGGAGCTTTCCACATTGCCTTTGATCTCTTTGCATTTTCTCGTCAGGCCCAACGCTACCGTTGAGATGCTATCTACCTCAGGCCTGGGCACTCTTTGATTGATCAGGTTGTTCTCCACGGATTCTTTCCATTCGCCCAAAAGGCTCTACACGGTTTTTCCGGGGCCCTACATGCAAAGTACACTCAGTTACTCCGGGGCCCTCCATATTAGTCTCGGGTTCTTTCCACTTGCTTGGAGAGCCTTGTGCTGTTGCTAGGGCTCTCACAAGGTAAGGCACCGAGCCCCTCGGTGTTCACGGTCCCTGTACTTCGATCGAGGGCTCTTTCCCTTTGATCTCATCCGCGGAGGACTCTTCATTTCCATCTAGGCTCTTTCTGTTAGCCTGCCCGAGCATTCTTGATCGCACAGCAGTATTAGTTCATGGCCTTGGGTAATTCCCCTTTGCTCAGAGGGTCCTGTGCTCTGGCCGGGGCCCTATTTGCCAGCCTGCCGGGGCACTACCGACCGTTTAGGGGCCCACCATGTTAGTCTTGGGTTCTTTTCGTTTGCTCTTAGTACCCTATTCTTGATAGCGGGAGTCACTTTGATGGCCTCCCACGGCACCCATTATCGCTCAGGTTCCGTTCCTATTGGCCGTGGTGCCTTCGCGTTAGAGCAGCAGTCGGATATGCGCCGCTAAATTTTTGCGCGCAATTATCAAACGTAAGTATATGTGCCGCAGACGTCGTACGTGCCATTTCCATTGACTACTGAGTGTGTGACACTCATTATACTAGTGCATCATGTTCTTGACATCTTTCGAATGCTCGGATATTTTGTACTCCCTTATAATAAAGGAACAACTCTGTATTAATCATCAGCCATCAGCTGATGACATCGCCAAGCCGGTTCGCCGTAAATAAGCTAGGAATCAAGTCCATGCTTGGTTTTGATGATTATTAGCAGCCAACTCGAGTTTATTTTGCATATCGTTCCGAATCACTTGGCCTCAGAATCACAGGATTTAAGACAATCTGCAGACAACGAATGATCTCCGTGTATGTGTGTACGTAGCACGCCTAGTTTTATAAGGCTGCCCACGGTAAGACGGATTTCCGTGTAAACAAATATATATATATATATATATATATATATATATATATATATATATATATATATATATATATATACATATATGTATATATATGTTTCCGTGTGTGTGTGTGTGTGTGTGTGTGTGTGTGTGTGTGTGTGTGTGTGTGTGTGTGTGTGTGTGTGTGTGTGTGTGTGTGTGTGTGTGTGTTAGCGTACATACTTTTTTCTATTTTTCTTAAAATGTAATGACCGAAGTGCAATAATATTTTTTTGAAGGGGCCCACACTCCACGTGGCCCCACAGCGTTGTGTCGCCCCCTTCTCCTTGATGAAATCCTGGACCCGCCTCTGTGAGGACCGGGCGGGCGCGATCGCAATCAGCTCCCGGTGGCAGCGGAATTGTCCCTGCTCTTGCTTGCTCACTGGGAGTGGCACAGTGGTATAGGTGATAAAGCTGCTCAATGCCTCAACTAATTGCCATTTCATGGCCTGGCTGCTAAGAGACTTGTGTTTGTTTCGCGAACATTTTTTGAGGCGAGGGCTTCAAGATTCTCCCATGAAAACATTCCTTGGATAGAGAAACGATCTGCCCCCGCTGCGTCCCCAGTCTCTCCGACACTGTCCAACAGGCTGGTACCATGGCCACCTTCGAAGAAACGAACATCTTTAGGAAGGTAAAGGCTATGAGGCAGTGACCAACTTATGTCACCAGATTCTCCATAGTTGTTAGGTTATGTGCCACGCATTGAATGGTGAAAAACTGCATGAAAATTGGGCCAGTGGCTCTTGAGATCAGAGACGTCGGCAACGTCCCCCATGGCTACATTTTCCCTTACATGTCAGCATGGTGTTAACCTGCCAGCATGCGTGACGAGCGCAGACTTGAGATGACCCTTGTTACTCCAGTGACCCCAGCGCCTGATAATGGTGATGTCGGGTCACCAAGGAAGCAATCTTTTAAAAATATGTTAGGGAATCATATGACATGATTTGGATGCTCAATTGCTACAAATTTGGACTGAATCGAGTATCTGAGACTAGAATCGAATGCGTTTTGATCTCATGGTATCCTCATCAGTTGAAGGTCATAAAGTGGACCTCTGGACACCAATTTCACTCGTTTCAGAACCTGTTTTCATGCGAGCTGAAATGTGGAGATTGCTATGAAATTCGACCATCTCTTTCATTTAGTGTTGAAGGAAAATGCAAAGCTCACCACGATTGCTAGCTGTTCAAAGGGGACCAGTAATTTAGAAAAGGCCACGCTCTAAATTTGGCCAAGCCGCATATCAATCCACCCAAATTTGAAGGACGCACTGACAAATGTCAATCTACCAAGCCTATAGGAGGCCTGCATAGTTCTCCCTGCACCACATGACCCCTCTGACCCCTCTGTCAGCTTTCTGATCGCCGCCGCCGCCGTCCCCAGCCCGACCGCTAATTGGTCCAGTCGGCGCAGGGCGGTCCCTCACCGCAAACCCCTCCCCCTCTGCCGAGCGCCGCGCGCCGCCCGCCAGTCGAGCGTTGAGCGCCGGGAGGTGGGCTGCGTTGCTGTCGTACCCGAGCGACGGCCGCGTCCGAATCGTCGCCGAACGGGTTCTGTGTCGCCCCCGGCAGCGATGGTGGGTGAAACGCTGCGGGGTTGCGTCGGGCTTGCGACAGCGGTACAGTGCTGGGCGGATGCTACCGTTTCTGGGAGCTGGTGCTGACGCAGGACCAGCCGGTCGGCGCTGGCCGGGCGCGCCTTCAAGGAAAACCCGACCAGGTATGTAGGGCACCCAGGCGTGCAGGAGCTGCCTGTGGGAGGCACGGCCCGGAATGAAATACCTTGCGGAAACTACTTCACCATGAGGTTCCCGTACAGTCCACTGCAGGTGCGATAAGGCCAACTGCTCAACGGTGTCCCCGCTCCAGTGCAGTGTGCCTGTCTGTCTGCCTGTCCACATGTGCTGCCAGGCGCGCTCATTTCTGCGTCGCATGCGTGGTGGAGCACTTCTCTTGTGGCCGCGCCCACACCAATCATACAGCAAGGGTGTTGTTCGTTCCGTTCCGGTATGTACGCTCCACTGATTCCTATGTTCCATGCAGGGGCGTAGTTTCGCAAAATGGGTTGGGGGGGCTGAACAGTAAAACATAACGCAACCTGCCCCGAAAATATGCCATCAAACACGTGTCTTTCTGGAATTTTCCCCACTTTCTCCCCAAAGTTGGGGGAAGGAACAAAAACTCGAGTTGGGGCTGAAGCTCCCCCCACCCACACTGAATACGAAACTCCATCCCTGATTCCAAACTCCATCCCTGGCTCCATGGTGCCTCAGCATAGCCCCGTGACAGGAAGCCTGTTGGAGACCTCAACTGACGCGGGGTGTAAGATTATACCGATGACGTTGCGTGGAAAAGTCTGAAAACAGGTCGATCTTCCAAACTTTTTGAACGTCCGCGTGGCCACCTCTCAGCATTTTCCCCCTGGCACGGCACGTCATCAGAATCAGAGTCAGATCGTTTCGCGACTAATCGATAGCGACACGATTTTTCATTGTCGCACGCGAAAGCTTGAAAGAGGGCGGCAGGTTTGAGCTAATAGACGCCACTTCAGTAGACACGAATGACATCAGAAATGCACAAACACGTGCTAACGCAACATTGGGGCCATAGCAGCGTGTGGTATCAGGCACAGGGCACCTTCCACCCCAGGCGAAGCCGACGGCACCTGTCGACTGCGGCGCCTCCACCGAGCCCGTCCGCACGTGCTCGGTCCCCGGGTCGCGTTCCTCGGCTGTTGGCTGGCCGGCTGGCTGGGCCGCCCGGCACCGATGCGGTCTGGCACCGTGCCAGCTCTCCGATAGTGCCGCCTCGGCCGGCGTCCTGGTGGCTCTGTTGATCCGGTCGTGGGGTCGCCGGAGATATGTGGGCTGGGGCCGCCGCCGGCGGACGCGGCACGTCTGGGGCGCGCTGCCGTCACCAAACACGAGCTCAGATGGCGGCGGCGCGTTAGAGGCAGCCGAGACCGGCTGGAGACGCCAGGAAAGGGCAGGCGCGTGCATGGTGTTGTGGCTGTCTGATGGCGACTGCGGACGTCAGGTGTGGGCTGTGGACGTCAGATGTGGGCTGCAGACGTCAGGTATGGGCTATGGACATCAGGTGTGGGCTACGGACGTCAGGTGTGGGCTGTGAACGTCAGACGTGGGCTGTGAACTTAAGGTGTGAGCTGTGGACGTCAGGTGTGGACTGAGAACTTTAGGTGTGGGTTGTGAACGTCAGGTGTGGGCTATGGACGTCAGGTGTGGGCTGTGAACGCCAGGTGTGGGCTGCGAACTTTAGGTGTGGGTTATTGACGTCAGGCGTGGGCCGTGGACGTCAAGTGTGGGATGTAGACCTCACGTGTGGGCTGTGGACCTCACGTGTGGGTTATGGACGTCAAGTGTGGACTATGGACGTCAGGTGTGGGCTGTGGACGTCAGGTATGGGCTGTAGACCTCACGTGTGGGCTGTGGACGCCAGGTGTGGGCTGTGAACGTCAGGTGTGAGCTTTGAACGTCAGATGTGGGCTGTGGACGTCAAACAAAAGCCGAGATCGTCAGAGGCAGACAGTGACCGTCAAAGGAGAGCTAAGTCGTCAAATGGCAGCTGTGGTCGTTAGAGGCAGACAGTAAGAGTTACAGGAGAGCAAGGTCGTCAGAGACGGACAGGGACCTTAAAAGAGAGCTAAGTCGTTAGATGCCAGCTGTGGTCGTCAGAGGCAGGCAGTTGCCATGAAAAGAAAACTAAGTCGTTAGAGGCAGACAGTGGCCGGCAAAGGAGAGCTATGTCGTAGAGGCAGATAGTGACCGCCAAAGGAGAGCTAAGTCGTAGAGGCAGACAGTGATCGGAAAGGAGAACTAAGTTGTCAGAGGCAGACAGTGACTGTCAAAGGAGAGTTACGTCGTCGGAGGCAGATTGTGACCGGCAAAGTCGCCAACAAGCGTCGCGGTCGTCATGTCAGATTTGGTGGCTAGAGGCGGACTGATTGTCCGGTGCGAGACCGTGAGAAGGCATGTTCGAGCTGAATAGTCTGATGTTGGATGTGGCCGCCAGGTCGGAGACGTTTGAAGTGCTCGTTCCTTATAATAATAATTATTCAATCATGCGAGTCAGTATGCTGATGGCTGATTATGGCGCTTTCACAATTATTGGTCTTATAACGGCTGTTACCTTTAGCGTGATGTTTGTATCCATGTTTAGTCGGCCTTCCGTGTATGTAAATTTTGCCTCACGCCCGTCGTATTTGGCCCACTTACGTTTACAATTTCCCCCGCGCCCTCCTTACTCTCTGCAGCCTTTGACCGCTATCCTGAACGGTTCGGCTCCCTCGGCCGCTGTTAGTTGCGTTGCCTTGTTGTGACCCTGACGTTTGCGTACCGGCACCACCAGGTCGCTCGGCGGCCATCCGCAGCGCAGGTGGCGGGGCGTCACATAGCGCCACTGCGGTGCGGGCCAAATACGTGATGGACGGTTATGATATCAAGTCGGGCAGACAGGTGCCTTTCTCCGTCAGTTCGGTGTCATTCATTAGTTTTGATGGCACCACCGGACCATCGCCGCGTGGCTGAAGTCCATCACGGCTGTGTCGAGTCATCGCCACTGCGAAAAGACTCCAACAAAAGACACAGGGATGACTGGAAGCCATACACAGTAGACAGGCACAAATAAACAGTGGTTTCAAAACGGTAAAATTACAATTGATTGCCATGATTTGATGAATTCTTAGATGGGCTGTAGAGGATTGGGAAAGGTGGCATTAAAATGGACGGACCGCAAGGGACTTGAATTGGCATGTTTTTTGTTGTCTCTGCGATAAATCGTCCGTTAGCTTGTATTGGAAAGCAGCAAGCCGACACCGCACACATTGAGTATGTCGTTCCATCGCACGGGAGTTACTGATGAGTTCAACATAAACATGATGTGTGTGATGTTATTAACGCAACCTGTGAACAGAAAGGGCTTTGATGGTGTGGTGGTCAAGCAGCGCGTCTGGAAAATCGAGAGTGCAGGTTCGATTCCTCCCGGAGGGCGCCCTTCGTGCCAGGGTGAGAGACAGCGACGTCACTCGCCTCAGCAGCTGATTATGTAGTGAAGTCCTAACCACACGCTTAAGGCAAAACCGCTTGTCAGGTGTTACGTCAGGGGCGTAGGTTCGAATCTCGGCAGGTCCCACATATCTCTAGCCGTCGCTATGTACGGAGAGGGTGATCGATGGTTCGAGCGTGCGTTTTGGGGTCTTGTTTTTTTGCTTGCTCGTCTGAAGTCTAATGAAGTGCAGTTGTTTTAAATGAGTTTAACCAATTTCTGTGCTTTGCATAATCAGTGTTATTCGAAACCGTCCTACCACTACACCTTTTAGTAAGATGTGATGCGTTTAAGATACGATATCCGTAGCACTATATATGCGATGCGATAAGATGTGAGCGGTGATGTTCCGGATTGTCTGCAGCAGAGCCCGCGGGACCTTCATCTCACCCTCCGTTGGTGAAGATGCGTTTTAATTTGATCGCTATCTTCACGCCCGCCCATGGTCGCGGTGGTCGGCTGGGAGGGCTTGTGCCGCCCTCGAGATTCAGGAGCCAGGGAGATTCGACGGCGACATGCTTCCCACCGCGGGTTTCTCTGGTCACGGCAAGACCACCCTGGAAGCGGTTCAGTTCGTTTCGTCTGTACTTTGGTTGGACGCCAGGGAGCTGTAGCTTTTTGCTGTCAGATGTTTCAACTAAACCCGCAGCTATCGCGCTTAGTAGACTTAATGTTCTGGAAGGGATGGTTTCTTATAGGTAACGCATACCTGCTGCGAATGGTTCGCGATCCATTCGCTACCAACGAATGCCAGTTAGTCTGCTGTGGAGCATGGAATCGCCAACAAGGGACCGCTTGAATGTCATGCTACCCCATGGAGGCATCGCCTTGAACGCGAAGGTGAACCTCTGAACATGTGGTGTATCTTTGTGCATGTGGATCCCAAGTTCTGTGAACCACTGCTCATGTGGTGTGTCTTTGTGCATGTGGATCCCTAGTTCTATTTATGCAATTGTTCAGGCGCATACGTCTATTGTGGTGGAGCCATAAGATAAAAGCAAGAAATAATCAGGCGTGTAATCTCACATGGTCACGATAGCACAAGGAGCAAAAGACATGCAGCGTCTCACATATAAAGGTATATACAGGCTTTCTAAGAGAATGCCTCTGACTAAAAAGATTGGCTCTCGGAACTTTAAAATGCAACGCGTTGGTGCATCAAGGCGAGCGCTGTATCATTACATTTTGTCATGTTAACCTTGGAGAATAAGGCATGAATTGATGTTGCATTGGGTGAAGAACACATTGTGTAAGGAATACATGGTGTGAAGAGTCGTGCTGTCATGCTGCACAAGTCAATGCTAGTTTCGTTAAGCGGGATAGGAGTGCGCATAGTTAAAGAGTGTCAGTTGGTACACACGAGCTCATAGTCAGCTACATTAAAGCAAAACATGAGATTGTGCATCGCCCGACTCGATAATGCTTCCGACTCGATTACTCGTGATGTTGCAACCGTGGGTGTGCTGCTTTAATTTCGTTTAATTTCCTTCAAGGTGCAAGTACTTGCCCAAATGCATAGGATTTCCGGCTCGTGCTAAGGAGCTAAAACGTCATCAGGAGAACGAATTTGGATGCAACGTTTCAGTTCGCCAGCGCACATAATTTAAGTCAATGCGATCTGAAAGATTTTGTCGTTTGAAAGCAAACCAACCGGCGTTG